CAGCAGCGCCACAACGGACGTAACAAGGACTAAAAATCAGACACATTTGACAATGACATTTCGTACATACTCGCAAACGTACAGGGGGCCAATCGCCTAACGGAGATGCTTTGGAAAACGCTAACGCTTACGATTTTATTTTGTTATTTCTAGCCGCCTGAGATATTCAAATGCCTCGCGCTCTTTCTTTTTCTTTTGCATTGGTAATAACAATATTAAAAAAAATGAGCGTGAGGTATTCGAAAACCTCAGGCGGCTAGAAATAACAATATAAAATCGTAAGCGTTAGCGTTTCCCAAAGCATTTCCGTTAGGCGATTGGCCCCCAGGTATGATGACAAGGTAAATCAAAACGATATTCGATTTATACTGAGAGCTCCGTAAGATTATCGAAAAAATGTCGAACACATATTTTTTCTTTTGTCAATCAAACAAAAAAGTTACAGAAATAGAGCGCAGCAAAGTTTAGGAGCCGAGTGGGGACTTGTGACGTCACTTCTAATTAAGAATTGTACCAAGACGTGACGTCAGGCGACATTTCAAATTAATTATACTCTATAATGTTTTGTTGGATTATGTGAAATAAGAAAAAATACGTTTCTTATTCCTTTTGATAATCTACCTGACAGACGAAGAAAATAAATAAAAAAAAACCCTATTTTATGATGATGTATAAAAAAGAATACGAAATACTTAAAATTATTTATGGTTTTAAACTTTCATGGTCACTAATATTATAGTAATGTAAGTTTTTAACGGGATTTTTACCACGCACCTTGTCTTTAGCGAGTTTCCGATATTTCGGCACTCCGTGATCATGGCGCTTGCAACTAGGGATACAACATCGTTCTGAAAAACATCGATATTTTAAAACATCGATGTTTGCATGAAAAACATCGATGTTCAAAAATATCGTTGATAAGAGCGATATATCAATGTTTTTGCCGATGTTTTTTTTTAATTTTTAATAGGATGCTTCATTGAAACAATTAACAATACCGCTCTATTCGGTATAAGTATGCTCGATGCGTAAAGGTTAATAAAAATAAGAATTACATAATGGTAAATTAAATTACAACAAAATGATTCCCATCATTCAATTAGGCAATTAAACAAATTAATATGAAGTGTAAGTTCACAAGCTGCTTTAATCAATAAGCTATTCGTTTTGCCATTTTTTTTAACCTTAAAAATATACACTCAATTTTCACATACCCGCCAACAAAAACCTAAAGTAAAAAACAAACCATCAAAACCTAACTACTTTATAAATTAATTCAACGAGTACATTACTCGCCCAATCAAGAAAACTAAAATGTGTATAGGTATGTAGTCTAAGAATCAAATTATATTTAATCAAATTCATCTACCCCTTACGTGTCAGCTCATCAAAACATCGATGTTAATATCGATGTTTATGACCGATACCTCGATGTTTTCCTAACATCGATGTATCGTTTGCATCCCTACTTGCAACAGTGCCGAAATATCGGAATGATAATGGTAACAATCCCGTAAATAACTTATATTACTATAAAATTATTTATTCTATTTTTTAGCTTTGCATGTAACCTAACCTAAACTTTGCGGTCAAATATAATATCAGAGTTCATCCACACTGTACATGTGTATGTTTGACCGGATGTGGAGCTATTAAAGTGCTCCGTGGCGTGCCCTGATTGTTCTAACCACCAACAGATTGATAGCATGACATCACCTCTTGTAAGCTGATTTACAGCGCGATTGCACTTGTTCGCTAGCCCGAATACGAGTGCCAATGGGATTCGGGTAAACGACAAAGTGTAGCGTGTAACGGAGACGAGTACGCCTGTATTCGGGTAGATTTCCTTTTGTGTACCCGACACCGTCTTCCAGCCGGTTGTTCTCAGTACAAGTTCTCGCGCCGTAGTTTTGCGAACCGATAGCGTAGCTTCTCGACATTCACAAGCGCTTGTAACAGCCTAGACTGAATAAACGATATTGAATTGAATAATATATAAAAAAGCATCACTTTACGCACAGGGCTAAAAATACTCGCCTCTCGACGAATAGCCTGCCTTTCCAAAAGGTACCAAAATTTATCAAAATGGGTTCTGCAAAGCTTAACAGACACACCAAGTCACTTTAAAATTTATAATGATCGAATGATAGATTTTTAATTTAATTGTAAAATGCATATATCTACATTTCTATAGAATTATCTGTCACTTTGAAATTTATAGTGTAATTTAAAGGTTATTTAGTAAGAATGGATTTTAAATTTAATTTTTGAAATACGTTTAAGTATACCTTGTCTTTAGATAAATCTATAATATTGGTTTTTGTTATAGTGCCTTTGTTTCAATCATAGTTAACGTCCACTCGGGTTTCTAGGAAGTTCTCATATTTCGTAGTGTTTCGCTGAAATATGATAGCTACACACACAACATTGTTTTTTTCTTATTCTGTATCATAGCTATCTGTTTTAGCAACAATAAGCCCTGCTCTTGTCTGATAATTTATCTGTATATTGTTTAAACGCCTTTCCAAATTGTTGGGAGACTTTCACTTCTTGTAGCAGAATCTATCTAAGAGTGTAGGGACACTATGGGTGCGGCCAGAGTGCACTCAGATTCAGATTCAGATTTCGAAAACAAGCGCGAGAAGAGAAATAAACAGTGTAGTCTAAGCAGGTTGCTTGCTTTTTCTCGCGCTTTGTTTTCTGAGTCTGAATCTGAATCTGAATCAGGAGTGCACTCTGGCCGTACCCTTCGACTACACTGTTTATTTCTCGCGCTTATTTTCGGAATCTGAATCTGAATCTGAGTGCACTCTGGCCGCACACTATGTATTTTTTATTTGTGTGAAGCAGAGATTAGGGATCAAACGATACGAGTAAATACAAGTAACTACCCGATACTTTTCTTTCGATACCAAGTACTTTTGGCATGGGTACTTTAGAACTAGTAACAAGTAGTATCGTGAAGTAAGTACTTGTATCGGTACTCGGTCGGTCACTCACTAAGAAGTATCAAAAAACTCGATAAGCAGATTATTTACTCTATGTTAAGGTGTCTAGTTTGAGTTTTTGTTTGCCATACTGCTCGTATGGCAGCCTTGCGTATGCTTTATATTTATTCCAATTTATTCAGTCAATCATTCGTTCATCGTGTGGTGTGAGCCGTTACTTTTTTTTGACGTGACAACGTCTTAAATTAGGTTGCGGCTGGGAGTCACTTATGAAAAAGTGTAACGCTCGGTAACGTTACGATGAGTTTAAGTTTACATGTACAATGTTTTAGTAAACAAAATATATTTCTATAGTTAAAATTTGTGCAATTCTTATTTTCATTCAATTCCTTGTTCCTATTGTGCAATTTAATTATATTCATATCAATAAATATTCTACCGAGAAAAAGACGTTGTCACGTAAAATCTTCGCCCGTAAAACCGACTTTACAGGCAACCATTTTTTTTCCTTAAATTAAAACTGTGTCTGAATTTCTAATTGTAATATCGTTCGTCAAAATTTATCGATACAAGTAAGTATCGACACTTTTCATTCGATACCGAGTAGGCATCGATACTTTATGACCGATACAGTATCGAGTAAAAGTATCGATACCTATATGGTATCGTTTCATCCCTAGTAGAGATCCACATCCACATAGTTTAACAGCTTCTGCATTCTTGTGTCTAGATAATCTCTCTTGATATTTCATACTGTTGTTGGTGATCTCTTCTTTGACGGTTTTTATTTTTAAATCATTATTATAAATGTATTTGTTGCTTATATAGTGTGGATCAAATATATAATAATAATTATTATGAACGCGCCGCCGCCCGCGACTTCGCCCGCGTTGACTTGAATTTTTTGAGTATCCGACGGGATACTCAAAAACTCAAGATTTTGCCGGAATAATAATTACCATATGCAATCGCGCCATCATTGACATTAGTAAGATGTTCGAGTTCAAGGTATGATGAGTAGCAATCAAGACACAGAATGTTGATTTCTTAAAAATGCGTCCCGTAAATCATCGATCGAAGTATAGCTTTTTTTTTCGCCCAATGATGACTTTTAATGCGACGTCGGAAGCGAAGCGTGTCGCTCGCGTCTAATGGCGCGATTATACTTGGCCGTTAGCCCGAATACGAGTGCCAATGCACCTAAATTTTTCATAAAGGGGCCGTTCAAGTATTACGTAAGCAGATATATTACAATTATTTACCCCCCCCCCCCCCCTCCCCCTTGTCAGTAAGCAAAGCTCTTACCCGCCCTCCCATACTTACGTAAACATTGGTACATATATGTTTTTTTCCTTTAATGTATTATTTTTTTTTATTGATTCATGAGCTTTCATGAACTTCATTAGCAGCAGTACTTAAATAGGCTTAGGATAGAGGACTTTAACGCACATAATATTCATTTAAACAAACTTTATTGACACAGTATTCAACGTAGAGTAAGGTACAAATTTTATAATCTTATAAAGTACTATTACGAACGAAACAAACTTCTTTCGAATTTTTGGTATATAATATACTAGCGGCCCGCCCTCGCTTCGCTTCGGTGTAGAGCTGAATACACCTCAGTTTTTGTTCTCAGGCTTGTATTATATAAAATGACATTCATCTATGATTCTTCTTATACCTGCATGCAAAGTCTTAGCCCGATCGGTTTAAAATTGACAAAGTTTCATTCCATCGTTTATCCCCTTTATTATAGTAGAATTGATCAAAATCCTTTCTTAGCGGATGCCTACGTCATAACATCTACCTGCATGCCAAACCTTTGAGTTTTATATATATAGATATTAATTTCAATTAATCCATGATGCTGACGTAATCACTATTTCGATCCCCCCCGCCCCCCCATGTCATCAAAAATAAGCAAAGCAAAACCCCCCTGCCCCCCTATAGTGCTTACGTAATATTTGAACGGCCCCAAGCCCCAAAGTATTAAGTAGGTTCTCGTCTTTTGGTTTCTTTCTCTATAATAACGAGCAGTGATTGTTCCAGAGTCGTGGGTGGAGCTGAACTCGGGTAGCGGCCTGGCTGCCGTCGAGAACGAGTACATAAGACTGCTGCGGGAAGCTCAACGGGAGAGTCGCGATTCATCTGTGAGGCACTCGCGAGCCTCTAGCGTCAAGGGCAGGTGAGCATCATGATTAGATGAGCATCATGAGCAGATGTCCAGGCACACTCACTGACGAGGGTTTCTTACCCGTGGTCCACCTAAGTGTCGCCGCACACGGGCCACCGACCACAACCACAAAACGCCGCCACCGGCATGTTTCTTGTAGTTTTACATTACATACATTTTATATGGAATCGCCACACACGGTACGCCTTTGGCCGCCAGACGCTACAAATCGTCGTTGCTCGCTTCTTGTGGCCCGCACCGGCCACTTAATGTGCCGATACAAAACGCCGCCACAAGTCACTCGCGCAATTCCCCACCCCTCTCTCCCTTACCTTAGTCGGCCGCTGTCGCGCTCTTCAGCCATTTTAGTAGCCGCTTCTAGCTTCTCGTGGCGGCGTTTGTGGCTGTGGCGTGTAGCTCGTGTGCGGCGACACTAAGAAGTTCACCTGGATGGACCATTTATTATTGACGAACAATTCGTTAATGTTCTCATTTCAGTTTTCCAAATGTTCTCATTTCAGTTTTCCAAATGTTCTCATTTCAGTTTTCCAAATGTTCTCATTTCAGTTTTCCAAATGTTCTCATTTCAGTTTTCCATGTGAAATAATGATTCCGAAAAAGTACTAGGAGACCATACGTGGCTAAGAGATTCTGATTAAGAAACAGTGATAAAATCCATAACCACTTGTTAAACAAAACTTTTCCATTTTTATAACCAGAACCTCTTAACCATGTATGGTCTTCTGATATTTTTTTTGAATATTTTTTTTTAATAGAAAACTTAAACATGAACATTAAGGTTAAAACAAACCACAGACGTATTATTTGTCAATGATAAAGTCCGTGGGACACGGAGACTTTAGGGAAGGCCTGTGCCCCAGCAGTGGGGACATTAATAGGCTGATGATGATTATGATGAAAGTCTCTGTGGTCCACCCGCGTTGGTCATTGTCGTGAATATAAAGCAATTTTTCTTCCCGTCATCGAAAAAAAATGAGAATCAAGGAAATGAAATGAAATGAATGAATGTCAGAACAATTCCCCATAGTCCACCCAGGTGAACCAACCAAAGGTCAGGACCCACCCAGGTGAACTTGTTAGGTGGACCACGGGTAAGAAACTCTGACAAGAGCGAAAACATGACACTGTTGAGGGGAGCTCAAAGAGACAGTCGCGAGGCATCCGTGAGGCACTCGAGAGCGACAAAGGCAAAATTATTCATAATGTTTAAATCTTAAAGAAATTTTACTGGGAATACTCGCTCCATGTTTTAGTCGGGAATGGATGAATCCGTCTGAAACCTGAGTTAAACGCTTAAAAGAAAAATAATATGCATAATATGTCATTTATACAAATTAACGGTGCAGCAATAAAGATCAAATAATTAAAGTTATATAAAGTACCTATCTACGAGTATGTGCAGCCTGTGTTCTGGCTGTGAATGTGTTTACCAAACGCGGCTAATAAGATAATGCATATTAATAATTTAAATACAACTTATCTGTTTTGTTATTTGTATTACTTGTAGTGTTTGTTTTTAAACAGAGCGTGACACTGACACACGTAGGACAGCTGTTTTGTCTATGATAGCGAACCGCTTACGTCAGCGTAGCTGTCAAACTTCATTGATTGGGTTGGTAGCCTTGAGGGAAGAGTCGATTTTCCTATTCGACTAAAATATTCGCCTTGAGACTTATAAAAAAAAAAAAAAAAAAAAAAAAAAAAGTAATCAGGCGGAAAATCTCTGTGGGGGCGCGTGGATGAATGGATGGAGTTTGACAGTTGTTGAATTTTGAATAGTCTTTCCCAGATCGATTTGAGTCCTCCTTATCGGGTGCTGTTTTTTAATCGATTTTGAATTTTACTCGAAATTGAATTTCCTCGCTGATTTGGGTAGGTATTCCTTTTCCTCAGCTTACGGCGAGCGTAGGTATATAGTTTTGAGTTTATTCTTCGGTTCGTCTCGAATGCGGCGGCTGTCTGTTTGACTGTGGCCTTTGCCTTCAGTTGAAGTGGGAAACAAATCATAGACACATGTTTGGGAGTAGCCGATCCGTCTATCATCTATGAGCAATTGTCAAAACAACTTTTAAAATTTCACAATCTGTTTGTGGTACAGTTAACTTTTCATCTTTTCTTCTGCCCAAAGTATAATAAACGGCATATTATTGTCGTCGAAGTCGTGAGATAGATCCGAAAAGTTTATATCCCGAAGGATATTGGCGGAAAAAGCGCGGAGTCGCTAACCGAACTGAGTTTCGTAGGTATATTGGAGTGGCTCTTTTTCCTACATAATTTACAAGTTTGGGCTGTGAAAATAACCTTTCTGTTGATATTCTGTATCGTAGGTGGACGAACACGAACCTTCACAAGGCGATTGCAATAATAAGGCGGTAACTTGTGATAGGAAACAAAATACTTACGGATAGTTTCATAATTCGAACGGTAAGCTATCATCTGATCTCATATTTATTCTCCTAGCACTAATTGAACTGCATTATGCACAATATAGTGATTCTTGTCATCAAATATACCTAATCATTCTTGTCAAGTTAGTGAACGTGGAATTGATTTTCTTCAAACCGGGTGGGACGGGCCCCCAGTCCTGTATTGATTCAAATTTTAAAGTGTAAACATTGACCGTGAATATCCCTCACTCCCTCACCCACCACAGATGTGGTAATCTATGTATTTTCCCCATATCTGATCATTCTTTTTCAATGTGAACTTCAGGCTTGTACGTTCCCCTCAAGAAATACTGGAGGACTAACAAGGAGACTTTTGTTCTGTGCACGGACCAGAAGGGGCGCGGGAGTTTATTTGCCAGCCGCTCTCCGGTTTTATGTAACCCGGCCGAACAGCAGACAGATTATACACAGCTTAACCTATCATAATCAAGGTATTTCTCTACTAACCCCGGGTGAACGTGAAAAGGAACCACCAGAGGCGAGGTTGGACCCCGACTTACCCATTTCCATATATTTACATATACCTATATAACTGGTTATCTCACTGAGAACTAGAATTAACTAAGTTTGTCACCAATATCGATCAAACGAGCCGTAGAACCTCTGAAATCCACTCAATAGCTTATTCAGTCTAGTCTATGTGGTATTTGTGGATAAAATATATTAGTAAGGATTATATTGTAAGTACATGGTAAAGTGTTATGAATGTCTGATATTCATATAATTATAACCTTTCATGACAACTTGTTGGTTTATATACACATTAACTTTGAACTACTGTATTCAGCTTAGATATTTATAATTAGTGAAACATAGTTATTATATAAATAATAAACATAGTTGGACTTGTTGATTTATATAAGCAATAACTTAAAACTACTGAATTCCTATGCTTTGGTATCTAAAGTGGATAAAATATACTTATAACATTATCTTAATTTTTTGGTTTTCTTTTATTGTTCCCCCGGTGCTCTGAGTAAGCTAGTAAAGAGCTGTGGAGGGGAATTTAACATTACATACTACACAAATAATAGGTAGACACCTACTTCATTTCGGTATCATGTTGCTTGCGGTATATTAAGTCAATGTTTGCGGTTGACAAGTAGCTTTGCCTGTTGTCAGTTTACAAATCAGCATTTATTTTTAAACAAAACTCAGTTACTGACTCCTTGTATTGCTCCCTGATCAAAATTTCCGCCTGAATTGGAGCGTCCGTCTTGGGAAGTAACCTCCATCGAGCCGTCTTCTGGCGTGAAAACACGTATGCACTTGTATCATGCGCGGACTGTATTAGTAACCATGTTGTAGAAATGGCTCCAAATTTGTCTAAATTTTTAAATTGGGCTTTGCCTTAACAGTTTTGTGTGCAATAGACGACGAAAAACAACAAAAAATAGAATGTGGATGAAGCGTTGGTTACAACAGAATGATTCGCAGCCATTCTAATTCATTCAAACTTATTGGAGTTATTGGACTTTAATGATATTCATAACTTCCTAAGAATACGTGCACGCATACGTGCGCATCCGCCGACTGCCACAGCGCAACTGTCTCTGGTTGGATGTAATCCGCCGGCCGAACGGTTGTAATCCACGCTCTCCAACCGCGGATGTAAACACGCGCCCGTAATCCAAGGACGTTTAAGGTCAAATCAAAATTTGGATTACATCCTTCGTCTAGATGGATGGCAACGGGCAAGGTCACATTTGTTGGTACGCTGGATTACATACTTCTAGAATAGGATTAAGGAATGCGGTAAGGGTACGCCAAGAAACGGCACACATCCCAGTAAGGATCCCATGCCGCCACCGATGGCAAGGAGGGCACATCCCGGAGTTTTAGTGAGTAGCTCCCCCCCATTCCGAGCAGCCACTGAGCCAGCCCTAGGGTTGGCTGAGTGGTTGGGCGGGAGGTGGGGTTAGGAGTCCCACATAACCCGTCGCCTACCCAGCGGCGGGGTATGCGTAACGCATTTCTCCGGGTCAAAAAACAAAAAGAGCAACGGCACAAATGATATCTGTTTTAGTCAGGAAAATTCGTGACCATTACCATAACCATTGCACCCTGGAAACCATGAGAGAAGGGGCTCCGTGGGCTCCTCCCAACCATTTCCAAGCACCCAGCTCGTAAGCTCGGTGAAATGACAATGCTCTACCCAGTAAAATCAGATAATACTCATGCACCGATCGGGGGAGACCTGAGGATCTCGATGGCGCAAGTGGTTAGCGCGCTCGAGTGCGATCGTTGAAGTTAAGCAACTTTCATAGTGGTCGGTCATTGGATGGGTGACCAAAAATTTACTATCTCGAGCTCCTCCGGGCTTTGGAAGGCACGTTAAGCCGTCGGTCCCGGCTGTATCTGCAGTCGTTAGCACTTACTAATCTGCAATGGGCCCCCGTGATGAGTCATGGGCCAATCTTCCTGTTCTATCCATAGGGAAGGCCTGTGCCTCAGTGGTGGGGACATTAATAGCCTGATGATGGTGATAACTCCTTTACCGGTCACCCGACAGGCACTCAGAAGACCGAGGTCCCCTAAATGCATGTCACGGGCGTGCGGTAACCATGAGAACGCGTAAGCACTGCTCCACAGCCTCGCCAGTGACAGGTGATATCCTGGTATCCCAAGTGTCTATAAGCTGTGGTGGCCTTGCCAACATTGAGCTCATCGGCGTAACAGATACGAGTATCTTAATGTACTTGTTCCCTCCTTCTTACAATCGGGGGTCAAACCTTCAAAAGAGATGTGAAGAAGCATTTCTGCAGGCCGACTAGGTCCCGGCGGGCGCGTGGCCAATCCAACGTAGTTGTACCATGTACGGCTCTGCCCTACTGATATGTATGTCAGGGACCGCGGTCTTCGGGGTGCATGGCGGCCGAAGGAAGCTAGAGTATTGACTGGTTTTTACCAATAAGGTACCAAGGGCCCTCCTCATCGAGCCATTAGGTTAGGTGAATGGAGTGCGGAGCGATCCCGGATAACTCCTCCGTTCTGCTTCTTCCGGTGAGCGGAGAATGCGTAAAGCATTTACGAGTCATTAAAAAAAGGCCGACAAAGTGAGGATGGTTGGTATGGCAGATCTTATCTGCTCCCCAACACTCCCCTCTTCCGGGGGGAGAGGGGTGTGGTCAGTTCGACTCGGACGCTCACTGGTGAGGTCGCGGAAGATTCCGTAAGGGTTCCCATGGCCTCATCCGGTGCCGTTGTCTCGCCCACTCTGGTTGGGACCGTGGACCGAGTGAGGTGAGGGGCATCGTCAGGTTTTTAGTGGGTAGAGCCCCCCCCCTCCTGGGCGGTCGCTGAGCCAGTCCCAGGACTGGCTGAGTGGACGGGCAGGACGGGTCTGGAGGAGTTCCACATAACCCCATTGCCACTCCCAGGTGGCGGGTATGCGTCATGCATTTTCCTGACGAAAAAAAGGTCATAACTGCTGCACCAGCTATCTTCGCGTTTGGACTTTACCACCACTTAATATAAGGTGGGGTAGAGTCATTATTCTACCTGATTACACAAATAGATATGTTTTTATTATTTAAATTTAAGGAATGTGTGTATGTAATATATGGTATTTTTTTTCTTGTTTCGCAGTCCAAAATCGCCTCCGAACAGTCCTAACCTGGAACCGTCCACAGAAGACGAGCTCAAAGGAGTCTACATCAACTGCTGGAGAGTGAGTGTAAATATATGAATTGATATCTCATATACTAACGGTGCCTTACTCGGGTCAACGGGCGGGTCATATGGCACGCAAGACTGTTTCGTGCAGCCAGCGGCTGCTTGAGTGGCGACAATGGGGTCAAAATTTCCTTCAGAAAGACCTCTGATGAGATGGGACATTGACTATGGATGGAATAGGGAGTTTGGGCTGGGTCCGCATGACCCACCATGCGGGCCCAGTGCGGATTCGGGGGTTCTAAAGACTGTAGATGCACCCGAGACCAACGGCTTATTGTGCCTTCCGAAGCATGGAGGAGCTCGAGAAAGTAAATTTTTGGTCACCCATCCAATGTTCGACCACTGCTACAGTTGCTTAACTTCGACGATCGCAACCGAACGCGCCAACCACTTGCGCCGTCGAGCTCCAAGACAACACGTGCGTTTAAATTGCATTTTGTTTATTTGACGTTTATAATTATTGTATAATACACATCGACAGTGCCACGGGGTCAATTATGCAAGCAAATGCGTAATTGACACCCCCGTTAACCTGGGGGTTAATTTCCCACAATAATTAACAAATTCTTACTAACTTATAAGTTTATATAATAGTGAGTTTTTTTGTCACGCTTCCATGCCTGAATCGATTTTGCTGAATTTTGGTATAGAAATAGATGGGAAACGCGACAAAATGTAGCCTATAGCCATCTTCAGGGAAATGGTTATAGGCTTTATTGTTTTTAACTGAGTAGTCTTCGTAGAATTTTGATAATACGTTTTTATTCAATAGGGTATTATAACCCAGAGGCCCCCGAAGTTGGGCTAAAAATCCAACGCTAAGGGTATGAAAATTGAGAAAGATTGTAATGTATAACCACACATAACTTTTTACATAGTTTCATTTGATACTTCTTTTTTATTGGAAAGGATTAACCCCTAAGTTAGTCTCACATAAATTTGGAAAAAAACACCCTGAGGGTGGGAAAATAGGGGTGATTGTTCACTCACAGATTTTGATAGATCTGAGTTCCCATTTCCCACTTGGGTTGACCTGGAATTGGCACCGACTCCAAATATTAATTTCACTACAACTATATAGAAAATGTTTAATTTTCTAATCAAAGGTTAAAAGTTACTTTTTGTCGTGCTAATAATCACACTAATATTTATTTATTTTATTTTAATAAAATTTGGTATTGAGATAGCTGACACCCTGGATTAACACATAGGCTACGTTTTACTGCGGGAAATTATCCCTAATAAACTGCGGGTAACATCGAGGTGCACAGCTAGTAATAGAGGGATACAATAATTTTGTATGGCTCTTTTTTCATGAAACCACCTCAGTTTATCTTCGCGTTTGGACTTTATCACCACTTAACATTAGGTGGTCTACTCTCTTTCTCCGAAACGAACTTTCGATAACGAACTTTCAAACGAAATTTAATTTCGTCAATGTAAGTAAATAATTTTAATTCAAATGTTTGTAATTAATTTTAACGATAAACTATCAAATTGAAGTTTTCTTTGAGTAGGTTTAGAAATTCTACATATCAATCTATATTCCGACGACGATTATTCTTATAATTAAAAACGAACCAGAAACATAGTAAGAAAAGTGCGAACTTTCGATCGAAATTTCGTATTTCGTTGAATTAGAGTAGGCCAGCAGTTGGGGTAGAGTCGTTTACCTACCTGACTATATATGAAAATAATAATTTAACCTTTTACATTTCATTTAATTTTTCAGGATGATTCCAACGACTGGGTGTGGGAATGGAGCAGTCGTCCCGACCAACTTCCACCGAAGTAAGTGCTCGTCTTCATCATCAGCCTGGTAATGTCCCCACTGCTGGGGCACAGGCCTTCCCTACGGTTGGAATAGGGAGACTGGGCCGTGACCCACCACGCGGGTACTGTAAACGGGTGCTAACGACTGCAGTTGCAGCCGGGGCGGACGGCTTAACGTGCCTTCCGAAGCACGAAGGAATGAGAGATAATTTGACGACCTCCGTGGTCGAGTGGTTTGTACGCCGGTTTTCATGGTGTCGCCGACTCGAGAGGTCCCGGGTTCGAATCCCGGTGGGGGCAGATGTTTGTGTGATGAATACGAGCATTTGTACTCCAGTCATGGATATTCAATATGTATTTCTATAAAAATATATGTACTCTATATGTATTCTATCCGTTACCCTAGTATCCCATAACACAAGCCTTACAGTGCTTACTTTGGGGCTAGGCTAATTGGTGTGAGTGTTGGAAATATTTATTTATTTATTTAATAAGATTTCTGTCACCCATCCCGTGACCGACTGTTGATTAACTGATGGAAAATCCATCGTCATCATTATCGGCCTTTTAATATTCTTTGCTTTTCCTTCCATATGGACAAAATCATAAAGGAAAAGAAGCTATAGTCACGGTAATATTATCTATTCAGTATTGTGACTCGGCCCTGTCCTTGAAATAACTGCCTCCGGCCGAGCGGGGCGTAAACACGCGGTAGGGCTGCCCGCCTACAGTATTTTAATTTCATCTACGTAATTGAGTTTCTTTCTAGTTTTGTGATTATAATATTTTATTTCTTATGTAAATAAAAAAAATCTTGTGAATGAATTAGGAAGTGTTACATAAAATACATCTTAATTTAGTGATGTAACGAATGTAATTTTTTGAACATTCGCGAATGCGAATATTTAGTTTTTGTTCAAGATTTGCGCCAATTGTCTATGGCATGGTGGCAGTCTCGTACGAAGTGCCGAGTTGATATGAACTCATCCGACTGAAGTGTCATTCCGCTCGCGCCGGTCTTTTCGTAAACAAAACAAGTGAATTTTGGGGTTAGTTTGAATAGTGGTTTATTAACACGAGTAAATCAAATTCTACTGAAATATGGACTTATTTCACACTTTGCGATGCTGAACGAGCTAAATGAAAGCTATATAACAATGAATATTCAAGGAAAGGAAGAACTACTACTTCTTCAAATTGTTCTTCAAATTGTTTTTCTCTAATAGTCATATTCGCAAAATCTCTGTGAATGTTTTGCGAATATCACTATTAGAGCGCGAATATCAATGCGCGAATGCGGATCCGAATATTCGTTACATCACTAGACTACAGATTATCGTATAAAGAATTTTTCCCTAAGTGGCCCCAGCCCGGAAATATTACTGTATAAAAATGTTTTCCCTACGTGGACCCAGCTCAGAAATATTACCGTTAAAGATGTTTTCCCTACGTGGACCCAACTCGGAAATATTACCGTATAAAGATGTTTTCCCTACGTGGGCCCAGCTAGAAAATATTACTGCATAAAGATGTTTTCTCTACGTGGGCCCAAATCGGAAATTTTACTGTATAAATAAGTTTTCTCCACGTGGGCCCAGCTCTGTAGCATTACTGTATAAAGATGTTTTCCCTACGTGGGTCCAGTCCGGAAATATGACTTTATAAATATGTTTTCCCTACGTGGGCCCAACTCGGAAATATTACCGTATAAAGATGTTTTCCCTACGTGGGCCCAGCTAGAAAATATTACTGCATAAAGATGTTTTCTCTACGTGGGCCCAAATCCGAAATTTTACTGTATAAATAAGTTTTCTCCACGTGGGCCCAGCTCTGTAGCATTACTGTATAAAGATGTTTTCCCTACGTGGGTCCAGTCCGGAAATATGACTTTATAAATATGTTTTCCCTACGTGGGCCCAGCCCGAAAATATAACTTTATAAAGATGTTTTCCCTACGTGGAGCCAGCTCGGAAATATTACCGTATAAAGATGTTTTCTCTACGTGGATCCAGCTCGGAAATATTACCATATAAAGTAGTTTTCCCTACGTGCACCCAGCTCGGAAACATTACTGTATAAAGATGTTTTCCCTACGTGGACCCAGCCCGGAAATATGACTGTATAAATATGTTTTCCTACGTGGGCCCAGTTCCTAAACATTACTGTATAAAGATGTTTTCCCTACGTGGGACCAGTTCGAAAATATTACTGTATAAAGATGTTTTCCCAACAAGCGCCCAGCTCGGAAATATTACTATATAATAGTTATTTATTATACAAGAGTGGAAAGTTCCTTTTTAACCGCGTGCTCGATTTGGATGACCGAGCAAGCGAAGGATTCTAAAGTTGAATCACGAGCGCAGCGAGTGATTCTAAATTAGAATCCTGAGCGTCAGCGAGGGAAACAAACGAGCACAAGGTGAAAAATCTTTCCACTCGAGTGCAATACGTAACTTTTCATCCCACCTCAGCGAGGAAATGACAAAATGAAAAAGAAAACAATTTATAATGACAAAATATTTAAGCAATAAAACGTGAAAAACTAGAATGGCGCGAAGCACGCAAATAAAACAAAGAAACCAAGAAGGTTCCAAATTTAAATTTTTTCACAATTTAAAAAGTTCTAATCATAAATTTGGCACCATAGAGGTTACATTAAATAGGTTTAATGACGTTTTGAATTTACAATTATATTGAGTACTCATTATATGTGATGTTCTAAATTCAAATCTACTTTGCCGCTCAAGCGAATAAAATAGAATTTTCCAGCCAGATTTCGAAGCGCAAAATTACACTTTCCGAGGTGGTGGGATGAAAAAATGATTTCCCTACGTCTGTAAATCTGGCTGGACGAAGATTTTAATAAGTCCTCTGTTTCCACCAGGGATTGGAGATTCAAGCACCCCACCAGTGCTCGTGGACCACCTTCAGCCACCTCCTCCATTGAGGTGCTGGAACAGCAATTGGTAGCGCCCACACTGCATCAGGTGAGGAGATGGGGATTCTATCCTTCTTATATTGAGAAAAATAATATAATAGGGTATTTGACAAGTTTTAGAAAACGATCTCACGTTATTGACTAATGTTTATGGAGTCCGTAAAAAGTGGATATTCATTGTTCTGTTGTGTATTTCAGTAAAACTAACCAAATCAAAAACTCCATTTTCAAGTTGCCGCGAAATCGTTTCTCTGGACAATATGGCGTCTTACTAGTGTGTGACGTCACACGACTGTTAGTAAAACGTCAAACGATACAATGTAATGTCACTTTAACCAGAAGTTTACTTGCGTGTGACGTCATTTTAGACTCCGCCTAAAACTATTATCTTTTTCGTGGGTTTTTAGTAAAATTATGAATATTTTTTTTGTCAAAATAGTAAAAACCCCTGCCAATATTCATTCTAACCACAGAAGCTAACATAAACCACTTTATTTTTAATATTGTCAAATAAAAAAACGTCGCGCTATAATTGTCTTTGTTTCGTAGAGCGGTCTGCTGTCAGTGCGTAGAGCTTGTCTATGGTCGAGACGCGCTGTTGCCGCTGTACTTGTCACCAATATCGTGTCTCTGCTATTGGGGGCCGGAATCGGGTAAGTTAAATTTATATTGTTGCTAATCCATATCCATACTAAACGTGAAAGTGTGTCTGTCTATCTGTCATATCTACACGCTTAAACCGCTTAACCGATTTAGCTGAAAACTGCAATTGCAGCCGGGACCAACGGCTTAACGTTACGTTCCCTAAAATATGATTGAGCGAAGCTATGGCTGGTTCATGCGTCATGCTCGTGAACGGGTGCTGCCAGCGGAGATGTTTAATTACACCTATTATAAATAACTCTATTTGTATTTATACTGTGTGACACAGCAATAAAAATGCAGGTGAACAATTAATGTATAATTTCACATTATATAATGTAAGGTGACTTCATGAATCATCTCTGAAGTCATTTTTCAACTTGACTCTGTAAATGATAAAACAGGGAGAAAAAACAGCCCTTGCTGAGTTTCTTGCCGGTTCTTCTCAGTACAAGGTCTCCCGCCATAGATTTACGAACCGATGGCGTAGCTTCTAGACATTCATGAGTGCTTGTAACAGCCTAAACTGAATAAATGATTTTGATTATGATCATGATTCCGAAGCACGGATGAGTGAGAGATAGTAAATTTTTGGTCACCCATCCAATGACCGACCACTGCGAAAGATTTACCCTCAGCTTTCCAGAGGGTGAAATATTCTGACAAGACAAGCTTTGATTCCGTGGTATTCATCATCATCATCATCATCAGCCTATTAATGTCCCCACTGCTGGGGCACAGGCCTTCCCTATGGATGGAATAGGGAGATTGGGCCGTGACCCACCACGCGGGCCCAGTGCGGATTGGTGGGTGCTAACGACTGCAAATGCAGCCGGGACCAACGGCTTAACGTGCCTTCCGAAGCACGGAGGAGCTCGAGATAGTAAATTTTTGGTCACCCATCCAATGACCGACCACTGCGAAAGTTGCTTAACTTCAACGATCACAGCCGAACGCGCTAGCCACCTGCACCATCGAGCTCCTCAAGCTCCGTGGTATTAATAATACATTTTTTTTACAGAGTCTGGCTAAGCCGAAGAGGTATGTTGCCGCCTAGACTGATTGTGTTGAACTAAGCGTTGTGAGAGAAACACGACGAAATTGAGGGCAAAACGATAATTTCGCCTTCTACACCGCTGCAAAATGGACGCTGGACATGTCTCGACGTGTATTATTGAATACGAGTTCAATTCTTATAACGTTATAAGAAAATTATGTTTATTTTAAAAACAGTTTACTTATTGGCTTTAAAGCAAATGAAATTTCAAGTCTAGATTCGTAATTTAATGAAAAGAAAAAGGTTACGAATATACTCAATGAAAACAGAAATTTGTGTGCCACATTCAAATTCAAAAAACACCGAGGAAGCCAAATACTAAAGATGAGGCTGTATGTACTCAATATCCTTTGCCTTTCCAGTAATAAGAAAACGAGACCATTATTGGAAAAGAGATCAATAAAAAACATTTGAGTATTTTACTTCTGGTAACATATTTGTTTACGAATAGACATTAAAAAAAACTTGCATGTAATACAAAATATTGAAAGGATAATAGTCCTTAACGCGGTGTATTAGGGTCGAAAGTCGGGTGCCGAGTTCGCGGGTGATGCCAAGATGTAGTTATATCAATGATTTTAGCTTTGTTGGTGGATATAGTAAATAGAATTTACAATAAATCTGGTTAAACCACAAGAATTGGATAAAAAAATTGTATTTAAGCATTATTCCTACAACTAGTACAAAAATATTGGTTACTCTTAGAAAAAAATAAAAATAATTAAATGTAAATCGGAAAATTTGTACTTTCAGATCTTTCTGATATATAAATAAGTAAATCTGAATATTGGTTTACAAATACTTGTCGCCATATCACAGAAGTATATTATATGTCATACTTGACGCTGTATCCACCATCATAGCTTGTTTTAGCTTGAATGTCAATATGGATGTGATGAAAATTGAATTTAAAAAAGGCAAAAAAAAGATGTATTTTAGATTTTAGACGTTTTGTATATTTACTATAAAAATTTCTCAATTTCTTCACGCGGCGGTCGCTCATGGGTTGCTTGCATAGACTATACTTTTTCTTTTTACTGATTTGTCACAGAGTGAAGTTGCATGGGATAACACCATAGACGAAGATAGTTGACTGAGAGTTCGCTATCCAACTCTTAAAGTGAAGCAGATAGGTGTGAGAAAGAGCAAGCGATGATGCGGCCTGTAGTTCGTATAGGTATTGGCTGCAATGTCGCTTTCTCTCTTTTTAACGACGACAGTTTACGACATTTTGGGGGCGTCCATAAATGACGTGAGATGTTTAAGCTCATCTAATTTTACGTTGGAGAAATATCACGCAATTTTTTTTCTGATTGAAACAAAAAAAGATGTACTATTTTGGTCCATTTAATCCAGATTGTACATGCCTAGGGATGCAAAGTCTTTTGAAATATCGATATTTATATCGATATTTATATCGAAGTCAGGCAAATATCGATATCCGATATATCGACCATTTTAACTCGATATTATCGATATATCGATATTTTTTTCTTTTTTTTGCTTTGTATTAAGTTTGCAAAGCAAAGTCCTAAAATTAAGGAAGCAAAGGTTTCCGAAATATCGATATTTATAATGTGGGCAGGTAAATATCGATATCCGATCAGATATGTCAGCCATTCCAACATTTCCAACACGATATTTACTATATTTTTTATAGCGCTGTAAGAAGTATCAAATCAAAAGCAATTTCGAATCAAAGATATTTATTTTGTTTAAAATATTTGCACGCAGCCAAAATCAGAATAAATAATCATATGAAAAACAATTGCTATGAATTAGTAAAACCTACACATCAGGCTTCAGAATAGGGTAAGCCCAAAGCTTCCAAAATTACTATACCTATCTTACTTTCTTGACTTGGCGAGCTTAAAAAATTTACGATTTGTATAAGATTCTTAATTTTATTTTGAGTTATATTACAATGATATTAAATTTCAATTAATCAGTAGTTGACAATTATCTAGAAAGAGAGGCAAGGATTTTATTTAAGTGCATCAGTTACCTTTAGATATACCATTATACCTATATACGTTGGTGTCGATTCTGGCATGATTATCTAAATTTAAAACTAAATTTAACATCGGTCTCTCCTTTTCATTCTGTATAGAGAATGACAAGGATACACTGTTGTCAAATTTAATTTTAGGTTTAGAGAAACATGCCAGAGTCCACACCAGTTTAGTATATTTCTTAGGGTTCAAGATTTTTTTAATACATCTATAAGCTCTTGCAATTTCAAAGCAATAGTTATTTCGATATTATTCAATTTAGATAGTCATAGCAGGTAAATTAATTGATATTATTGTGTTCAAATTAAGTCTACGAAATATCGATATTTTGGAATTTCCGATATCGATATTATCGATATCAGTGAATTTTAAATATCGATATAAATATCGATATTTTGGTCTCGATATTATCGATAATATCGATATTCCGATATATCGTTGCAACCCTATACATGCCTAAGATTTAGGCTCGTATTACAGAATGATAACTAAGTGTTGATCTTTACTTGGGTACAGTTAGAAAGGGATATCGTTATGTGCTATATATAGCGACATCCTTTTCTAACTATGCTCAAGACTAGATCAATCACTGAGAATCTTTCTATAGAACGGGCTCTAATCTTAAGCGTAATCGTAGTACAATTAAGATAATTCACTAATAACTCTCAGCAATATTGATTACTAGTCTAAACTAGTCGTAAATTAAAGCACGAAGCATTTTTTTTTCTTTTTTGCAATAACAATTCAACGCTTTTACGTAATAAACCCACATTTTGAAATATCTCACGTGAGATTGGGATATGGGGGGGGGGGGGGTTGAATGAAATCTCACGACATCTCACCTACAGAAAATTCAAAAAAATACACCTCACATAATTTGAGGCCTTGAGAACCATAGAGGCCTAACTCATTTTTTAACCATAGTGGCCTCTCTTACTTAGGCCATTATGGCACCTCAAATTTAGATCACAGACTAAAAACCGTAACAGTAAATATGCTGCCATCTAGTGAATATTCATTGTATCACTTTTAGACCACTCTGGTTCTATCACAATGATCAATTTGAACTGGAAAAAATCATAAACTCAATATTGTAAAAAATGAGTTACGCCACTATGGTTCTCGTGGCCTCATTTATGGACGCCCCCTTTTCAATATCATGCCAGTGTCACTTTGTCTTAGTTATATGCCTAAGGATTATACATATCGCTTTTCAAATCATATTCATAAAGATATTGGTGAGTATTTGCTATTTTTCAACTTGCCGATGTCAAGTTTACGAATAGCAAACACAAACAGCCAATAGTGCTGATATTATATTTTGATGGCATTATGTGTTCGTAAAAATATACTATAGCAGTATCCTTCGTAGTCTTTTAGTTTGTTTTTCTTGTACTTCGTACTAATAAACATGTACTGTGCACCACTGCTCAGGTGTTCAAAACCTCAGCTTTATTTTGAGCGACATAAGGATCATAATTGGTTGGCAAAATTTGACAGTTTACGGTCTTGGTCTGTTGTTATCTGTGCATTGTATTTTTAGCGTCTTGTCGATAACTACATTTTTTGTACGTTTTAAATAAGAAAGAATCTGTTTATAATAATATATGTTTTATCAACGATGATGCATGGTAAACATACCTTTAAAACGTGTTATAATATAATATATAAATTAGTCTTTGGTGCGATAAAATAGATTGGTTGTCTGTAAAGTCGGTTTACGGATGATAGTTTTACGTGATGACGTCATAAAGAAACATTGATGAAAATTTGCATAATTGCGAGCTCTGACGTCACACGAGAAGAGAGATAAATGTGACAAACCCACGCTTGGGCCGATCGTGCCTCTCTATCGCTTGTTCCGCGCTCTCGCTCGCACGCTCAGGCTCAGGCGAAACGTGAAACTTTTTATAACACGTTATCACGTCGAAAAACGCGCGACGGATTCTCAATTTACTGGATTTTGGAAGAACACAATGTCAGTATGTTTTGATGATAATGATGACGGCAAGCCATGGACGACCGCATACTATTTTTATATGACGCCTAGTCTCGTAAGTATATGAAAGTTTTAATGATGCTTTAGGCACACACAGCACTTGAATATATACATAATATAGTACTTTAAAAATCATCATTTTATATATCGTAACAATAGCAGTGAAACTAAAAGCTAAAGATATGTGTAGGAAAATAGTTTTGTATCTATAGACAATCGGAATAAAAAAGTATAACAAGATGGACCAAAATGTTTCGAGTGGGCATTTAATGCAAGTGGTGACCATAGACAATCAGAGAATACATTAAGCGTTCCTTAACCAGCTGCAAAGTAGATACGAACGCGAACTACCGGTCGCACGATCGTTTCTCTCTGTCTAGAGATAGATCTCTTTCATGCAGAGATTGCTAAGTCATGTCCAGTCAAGTCCATTCTCTAATTGTCTATGCTGGCAACACAGTTTTATCAAATTCACACATCACTATAAGATTAAAAGCGATAATGTACATAACGTTTGAACCCGTTCCATTGAGAATAGAATGAAAACCGACACATTGGTGTCGATCCTGGCGTGATTCTCTAAACTTAAAACTAAATTTAACATCAGTCTCACTTTTTCATTCTGTATAGAGAATGACAAGGAAACACTGTTGTCAAATTTAAGTTTAGATTTAGAGAATCGTCCCAGAATCGACACCATTGTGTCACTTACCTAATGTTATAAAGTTTTCTTTCATTTTACGCCCATCATTTTCCATAGTGATCTTACCGTTTATTATGGACGGATGAAAACGTCACTGTGCGGGTGAAATCAGAATTTAATGGATGAAAACTGAATGGAACGGAACGTGTATTGAAACAACATTTATTCTGAATTTGCACCTTCCGTATTCTTTATTTTCTTAACGGACCGGGTCAAGACGGCATATATGTATATTATTGTCACTTATCATATATTTTAGACAGATACATTGTATATGTATTGATAGTTGATACTGGTCTCGATTC